TGACTTCACTAGCATGGACATAATGACAATATTTCTGTTTTTGTTTCTTTCCTCAGTAGATCAGTTTCATGAGTAATATTTCTTTCGACTTTTAACTTTTTTTCTTTTTTCTTTCTTTTTTTTTTCTTTTTTTGAGACAGGATTTTTCTGTGTAGCCCAGGCTGGCCTCTAACTCGTGGCAATCCTCCTGCCTCAGCTCCCAAACGCTGGGATTACAGATTTGCTCCACTGTACCTGGCCAGTTCTCTAGCCTTTTAAACAATTTGACCAAACCTTTATGAAATTTAAAATCTTTATCTTGATTTTTTTAATATTCATTCTTAGTTATGCACATGATTGGCTATGTCATAAAGTTTATTTAGCTGAACATACAATAAAGAATGCAAATGAAAGAATTTGGAAGAAAAATAAAGGAATTTCCTTTGTGTCTTGTTTCAAAATATTGGGGTCATTGCACTACAATTAATTGTTCTGTAACCACTTGAAAAGTAAATAAATGTATGGATTTTCTATACTACATAGAGTCCTATGGGTTTTAAACTCTCTGCACCAGGATTATTATTTAATGTTTTTATATCAGGTCAGCGACAAAACAACTACAAGCCTTAGTCAAGATCAGCAAGACAACTGTTAGAGTTTATTAAGTATTTATTGTATGTACTTAACCTTTATAAAGTGGATCCAGGATATCACAGTGACTATTGACTTCTAAATTCTTTTCAACCATTTCTCCAAATCAATAGTAACTAAACAAAGTAATAACTAACTATATGCCATGATGAAAAGTGAAGTGGAAATAGTTATTCAACCTAAACTAAAGTTGTCTGCTGAAATTTGTGTACCTTGATTGAATCAATTGCATTAATTGGATATTCTACAAATTTTAATGCATCACTAATCCCAACTGAGTGACATAAATACAAGTGGCAGGAGTAACTCATAACATTTAAAATGATCTGTTTTTTTTTACTATATAGTCACAATATCTACATCTTCGTAAAATGTGGTCAAAGCTGTTATGTTATCTTTCTCACTTACATCAAAAAGTATGATATGTTCCCCATCTGTTATGTGATCCCAAACTAAATAGCTCCACTTAGGATGTGTTATTACTTAAGGCAGTTCTTTTATGAAGGTGTGCTATAAAAGCATCCAGGTGTCAGCAACCTGCCCAAATGGTTCCCATTAAATCTGCTAGAGGTGATGACATTTCAAATGTCACAATGTCTCTCAGAGCAGCTAATTGCATTAAATTCTAAAATAACTATGTGTTTTGTACTGGACCTCCAGATGTTTTGACTGAAGCAAAATCTTATAGGCATGTACTATCTAATACGGTTTATCTGCTTAGAAAAACCAAATAGGTAAATCTACTTTGAAGAAATAAAAAATTTAGATAGGCTTTTCAGCTTCTGTTGATCCTAAATAAAGGCTGATTAATCTCATTAAGTCAATTCTAAAGAATAAGAATTTACACAATTTCTCTATACTATTTTCAAAATCCTTCAGACTTCTGAGTAATAATCAAAATGTTCCAGGAGAGTCTAAGTTAGAGTTCGATGGTTTAGTAACAATCATACTCAAATAACCACTCTGTTTACTAAAGTGACTTCAGCTGAGAAAGAAAGAGTGTGTAGAAATGTTAGGTGACAAAATCAGAATCCAAAAAAATAACAGGTGGAAAGAATATGAATGTAATAAAGATGGCATTTAATATGAATAAATATGAAATCTTGGACCAAAACACCGGCATCTTGAACACAGTATATGGAAATGAGACACACTGGTGAGCACAATAAAAGGTCAAAACACATGGCATCATTGATGAGCCAATATAAACCTGAAGCAAATTAATATTTTATTCACAAGAAAGAAACCTCTATCTTTCCCTGTTCTGGGCTGGTCAGAGCACAACGAGGAAATTGCACTGTTTTGAGCATCAGCTTTAAAGAGAGGAATTCACAGCTGAAGTGTGTCTACAAGAGGGTGAAAGAGTCTAGGAGCTCAGTCACGGGATGAACAATCAAAGGGGAATAAGTGGAAGTAGTATGCAAATGGCGAAAGTGTAGACACAGGAAGAGTGAGTAACTGTTTCAGAAACATGAAGCACTCTCATGTGGAAAATGGATTAGACCTATACTGAATGACTCTAGAGGTGAGAGATAGGAATAATAAGTAGAAAATCCAGAGGGACCTAACTTCCACATAGCTAATGGATTCTACTTTGCTTCATATTAATGATGAAGCAGCTCCCTCAGTCAGTATGTTTGGGACTGGTAGTGTTTAGACAGAGGCCATCTGACCGTCACCTAGCTGGGCTACCTATGGTGGAGTTTTTGTCTTTAGTTGGCAGTGGGGTAGATAATATTTGAGTTCATACAAGTCCTTAAAGTTCTTTGAATGATTGCTGTCTTGTAAAAGTATATAGCATTCACCATCTTTGGGAAAAAAGAAGAGATAACATCACAGAAGTTTAATACATTTTTTTCTCTATTTGAGCATAATAAACGAAACAAGAACTGTCTATTTTCAGAGTACCCTATTTATAAATAAATAAATAAGTTTTTCTCTTAAAACTTTCAGTCATCTGCTAGCCTCAGCAGGAAACTTGAAATGACCAAGAGTACGTTTTCAGAAACACAAAGCTAAAGTTGAAAATAAGCAATTATAGACATAAGCAAATTTGTGTTAACCCTACTTTTTCTTTATAAAGCAGAGGCTAAAAACCTTGAAGGACTTTATTCACATGGCAGAGAAAACACAGCTGTCATCATGGCAAACATTCAGGGCACCAGACATTTGGGGATACTGTTGAAAATGCAACTCATTAGTTGTTAAGGCTGTTTAGTGGATAATATCCAGAAAATTTATAAAATGCTACAATTTAAAAGATGTTTCCCCATGCTTTGGGTCAGAGTTCTGTGTTGAGCACCTAATGTTTTTATTTAAAAACAAGTTTTTGGAATTAAGTGTGTAGTATGGACATCTTTGCTAGAAAATACACTACCAGTCTATTAACTTGGGTGCTTAATGAAAGAATGTGTCTTTGGTTCTAAAATTTAAAAATACCACATGACAAGGCAGCACCTGCCAGCCCCACCACAATGCGTCTACAATATTAAACATCATCTGTGATACTGTTGGAAGAAAATCAAGGACCAGAAAGCTCAGAAGAGACAGTTACTTAGTGCTTTTCGGCCTAGAGCACCATTATGCCTGCAATGACACAGAAGATAAAGGATCTCACTTTCTGGAAAATACACACCTTCCCCTCTGATGTGGTGATATTAATGTTTATTTTCTCAAATCATCATCATAATACATCTGCCTGGTCTTAGCCTCCTATCCCAATATTATAAATATAAGTTTTTCACGAATAGACATTCATAAAATTAGTAGAGCATGGCTTAGAAACTCATATGTTTATAGTCCCTTTGACAAAGAACATTATGAATCTATAGTGTCACCCTAAGAAAAACTTTGTTTCAAGATTAGTACCTGAACCCTTCTTTCTAATCTGACATATGACAAACATATAGTATTAGTCACAGCAGGAGGCTGGATAAGCTGGAAAAGAGAAGATGGAAACATGGCTTCAATCACCAGCCTTATTTATGGGGGATTTTGATAACATTGGAACATAAAGGGCACATCATACAAAATGTATGGTATTCAAGGGAATATATGAGGAGTTACAAGGCTTCTAGAATCTCCTGCAGGGAAGATGCTATTAACTTACATCCCAGTCATGTCAATTGTCACTGTTGATGAATTCATCCAATGGGATATGCTCGTCTTTGTCACATCCAGGAACATGTTCTATGGTGTTTGACTCAAACAGCCTCACAGTGATTTAGAGAGCATTTCCACAACTACAGGCATTTCTGTATGAAAAATAAATTTTTTTAATTCTTATGCAGAAGCCTTTGGGTACAATGAACTATATAAAATCTCTCTACCCCCTTACTTTATGCACTGTTAAGGCTGGATGAAATAGGCAGAAGGTTAAAGGGAAACAGGTAAGCAGAGGAAAACTAGGTCAAGTTTGCTCCTCATCACCTCTTCATTATCAATTGAACTACAGATGCTCTTTCCCTTCTCTCTGCTCCACAGACAGTTGGCATCATGAACCATTGCCACCCCCTCACCACCTCCTGCTCCCATCAGGCCAGCCAAGTGGGTAAACCCAGGGAAACAGAAGGAAGATCTTATAAGACAAGCTGCGATCATTATTTAGTAATAGCATTGCAATGTATAAATTGTTTTCTCAAGAAATAGATATAGAGATGGAAACACTCATTGTTAAAATATTGTCCCAGTCAGTTATAATATTCAATATTTGGTGTTGTTTTCTCCATTGAGTTTTCTGATACATTTGTTATCCTATTTGCTCTTATGGGTGCTGGGTCAAAGTCCATCAAAACCATGAGGTAATCAACAGGCCTGGGGTTTTATTCTTCAACTGGTAATGTTTATTGCTTGTATCTTTATCTCAAAGTGAAATTAACAAACCCACTCTTTTACCTTTCTCCTAAAGTTGTGGTAAGGCAGAGTCTTTATGTTTTTAGGATATTTCGGAAAAGCAAGTTGAAGATAAATTTTTCTGTTGTAAAATATAGAAAAAATAGTGGATAAGATCAGAAGTGCCATATTTGCAGTCTGTTGCATTAGACTGTGGAAGACCAAGCTGAGATGCCTAATGTTTGTCAAACTCAAACTGCGACCTAAAGGAAGCTCATTTTGAGAAAAAGGAATAAGGAGTCGTGGAACATCCGTGTTTATGATTGTTAGCCTGATCCAGTCAACCAACATACCAATGGTTAATGAAGAGGGAGGAGACATGGATTGAATATTTTAAGGACCTCCTTTTTCAAATGTGAAAAACAAATCCTCCCTGGCAGTGGGTTAGGCCATCTCTTGAGATTCCAGGCTGAGCATAGTATGTAGAGACTCGGTCACTCTGACTAATTTTTTCATTTTGTGTTTCTATTCCCTTACAGAGCTCTCAACATGGTGGCTCCTCTACTTCACTGGCATCCACCAAAGTCTGCAGCTCGATGGATGAGAATGATGGACCTGGGGAAGGTGATGAGCTTGGGACTTGGTATCTGAAGAGAAGGTTCAGCTTGTGTGGGGGCAGAGGATGGGTTGACTAATTTCCATTTTGATGGAATGAAATGAATGAACTCAAGCAGCTCAGAGGGTCAGTCACAAGGGGATAGGATTGACTATGGCTTCCAGCAGCAATGGGACCTGCTCTCTGGGAACAGGAAGAAGGAGACGGTATAATTGGGAGACATTTCACATCCTCTGAGGGTATACATTTCCTAGAAGGCCAGCTATTGCGTGCTTTGGAAATAAGATAGGGTGACTGCTGCATTTGTGTTCCCAAGCTCTGCTCCCATTTCATATACTAAGGACTATTGACTCTCTAAGAAGTTACAGCCCCACAGGTGTGCTCTAGTTTGAGTCAATTCAATATATTAAGAGGCAGCTTTGGGCTGGGGATGGAGCTCAGTGGTGCCACCGCCAGCCTTGCAAGCTCAAGGTCCCAAGTTTGATCCCTGGTACCAAAAAAAAAAAAGACAACTTTACAAAAAGAATTCACTGGAGACAATTGCAAAATGTTCTTTGTGATGTGACCTGATTACTTGGGTTCCATAACTGAATCTTTCACTGCATCATTGGATCCTTTGGGGACAAGTCTCTTCAATTTTCCCACCTTTAGTTCCTCTTTTATAAAATGGGGACTGTAAAACACGCTCATATCCTCCCTGGGGAGTTCAAATCAATTAGGGAAAAGTATTTGAAAAACTATAAAAGTATTTCAGTAAAGCCACTATTAAAATCTGCTTCTCTTATTTGCTTTTAATGTTATAACTTATTTCCCCAGAAAAGCACCCTTCAGGTTAAACATTTTTTAATTACATTAAGTGAGATGTATGATTTGTATAAGAATTATTTCCTGACTACCATGCAATATTGGAAATGATTGCATTTTCAGAAATTTGTAGTTCAGCTACTTACAAGTCTCTTTGGTTTCCATGTGTTTTCACCTAATGAACTGAAATGGCCCTTGATTAAGCCTTTGGCTGAGCCTTTTCACCCAAAAGCCTAAAAGGTGCTCTTTATAACATTCAGGGAAAAAAAATCCAAGCCCTGTGCTTTGGACAGGTGCTCCAGTGATGTTCCCCCTGGGAGAAGGAATGGAATCTCTCTCCCTTTCAATCTATAGGATCACATTTACCCCTATCAGCCAAAGATGATTACTTTAGTTACCCATGTACTAAAGATCCTTAAGATTGTGTCATTTGGACAATGTTTTGTAAATTTGGGTGTTTTGCAGTGAATTTGAAACATTCCCAATCATTTCTTCCCATTTCCATAGAGGACACAAAAATCCCCAGCCTGACTCCTCAACACAAAAGCCGTATTATGACTTCTTTTCTGGGTAGGAAAAAAGAGGGGAACATAGGCTCCAAGCCCTCGCTGCATCTGGAGACTACGTGGCTAGTTTCTGGTAGGGAAGAGTAAAATGGCATCCATAGGGAGGTGAAGAGGGCAATAGTGACAGCAAATGCCCTACAATTTAGGCAACATTCTACAAAAATTCCATTTACTCTAGAACACAGAGTGGTGTGGACCCAGTACTGTCACACAGCCAGAACAAAGGTCCTAAATTAGGTAGCTGATAATTGTTAGTCTCCATATGTCATTCCCCAGTGACCCAGATGGAAGGTAAATATGCAAAAATCACCAGAAAGCCTGTTCACCACCTAAGGTTTTTATTTAAGAAGAAATACTTAGTCTGGGTTTATGATGAAAGGTCAAAAGAGGAGAACATTTATGAAGCCCACTAGGCCTCCATCACATTTTGCATTCACATTGCCTGGGGGAGAGCTAGGATTTATAACTTTAAAGCATGTAAATGTTAGAGCCCAGCTATAAAAGGCTTTTTACACCCCTAACATGTTAAAGGTTATCCAGTATATTTATGTGACCTAAGCATGGCTTGTTTCATTTTATTGCCTTGGATATTTAAAGCCTTATTAGACATTTGTAAAATATTTCAAAATGCATTTTCAGAGGGCTCTAACATAATTGAAAGTACAAAACTGTTCTGTTCACAAACATAACAGATACTGCAATTTTAACTCAACATCTGCTATGCAAGTTGCTGGTGAGAACATTTGTTTAAAATCTGCTCATTGATACTGAGGAGGGGTGGCAATCAATGCTTAGTTCATAAGGAATTTTACGGAGATAACCATTTCAGGATGTAGTAAAACTGTGTATCCAAACAGCAGGCATTTTTCATGCTCATACAATGTCAAGCAGCCCAGAGTCCCTTAAGAACTGAATTTTCTCCCACGCCATATATAGGAATGTCATTTATCTATACACAGTGGGTATTCAGTGGATGATATTGATCAAATTGGCATGAAGTAAAAAAGGAAAAAAGGCAAAACTTTCTCTTCAGAATTCTCACTGCAGCAAGAAAACATGTTTCCTTTTATATAGGTGGAGGTAGACCCCATACTTTTCCTTTTAGTTTATCATTTCTCTTCATAAAAACTGTTGAGTGTATATGAGCCATGGGAGGGATGTGGTAATGGGGCGATCATTTCATGCACAGAAAATGACATATTGATTCTGAATCAGTTCCAGTCTATTAGATGATACTTCTAAATGTCTCCTTGTACAACAACTGTGTCCCTTTTTCTACCAATAAAAATGTATTAATGATTCTTTCAGAAGTGTCAGAGGAAGGCTTCCAGATTCCAGCCACAATAACAGAACGATATAAAGTTGGGAGAACAATAGGAGATGGAAATTTTGCTGTTGTCAAGGAATGTGTAGAAAGGTGAGAAGGATATCGTTTGCATGGAACTTTAAAGGAAACATTTGGTATTGTTTTCCAAGACTGTGTCTCTATTTGCAGTCTATGGCACATATGGAGTAAGTTAATGTCTCAACCCAAGAAGCAAAAAAAAAAAAAAAAAAAAAAAAAAATTAAAGAACAGCCATCTAACAACAGACTTGAAAATTGCAGTAATTCTTACCGTTGGTCTATTTTTTAAAAAAAGATTTTGATTTCTCTTTTTCTAATGTACTCAGCAAAACTTCGCTAGCCCTTTCAGGTAAGTTTTCATCTTGTTTAAAAAAATCATATCGAATGGTTCTTCCCATGTTTCTTTTAAAAGGTATTTTGTTGAGGTCAGAACATTCTTATAGAGAGTTTGATCTCTCACACATACAACTATAAAATTATAGCCTCGAAAGGCTTTAAAATGCTTGACTTCAACAAAAAATGGTATTTGACACATTAAAGTGTAGTATTAAAATGGATGATCCAGGTACTTTGTGGGCCAAAAGGAAGATTTTAGAGTGAACAGTTTATCCCTAGATTCTTGATACCTAGTGGAGTACCATAGCTTGTGACTACTAGATGGAGAAGTAGCAACTAATAAAGTTATAGCCCACACTAAGGTAACTTCAAACCCTCAGCTCAATGTCAGATTTGGATTTTTGTTCTTGGGCAGTTTGCTTTAGGGAATTTGGTCAGCCATTAGCTTCTTCTTAGAAGTTGGTGGGTAGTATTGGCAAGTCAAGAGGAATTTGCCTCATTTCTGAAAAGTATGTCATCTGATCATCAGGAGCTGGCCTAGGGTGTCCATGTTTCCCCCATCACCCTTCTTGCTCTCAGTAGGGCTGGACCACTGGACACAATACCAGTTTTTCAGCATCACTTATAAATCATGCTCCTATGCTTTATACTACCATTTGGAGAAGATTCCTCAGACTAGAAGACAGATAAGAAAGATATAGCTTAGAGAAGCCAGAGCTGGTTCTTCTCCAAGGGCTTTGATTTAGAAGCACAAATCAGTGCCATATTAGACACAAAAGCCCTTAAAGAGGCTCAGGCATCATGAGAGGTCTTAGTCCAGTCAATACTCACTCATGTGCTCCCTGCTCCAACCCTGCAACTTCATGGAAGATGCCCCCCAACTAAGGTGGAAGAGCCCTCTTTAAGCTCCCCTTGTGCAGTAGATCCCCAGCTTTGCTCCACTCCACCATGCCAGCTGGGCTAGAATACAGTATTTGCAACAATGACAGCAACTCCCTGTAGCAGTCCCCTCTCCATGAAAGAAGGGCATGAGTAATCAGAAGCTAGAAAATCCCCTTTCATGGATGCTTCCCAGTCACCCTTCTTTTTTTCCCTCATTCGCTAATCCTCTCCAAGGAGCTTGGCCACTGGTTGTCTTACTGGCTGCCAATGTAAAACAAAAGTTCTGTTGCTTTCTTTGGCCTCCTACCTTTTAAAACACTCATTGATTCCTGAGCATAAATGATATACAAGACCCTTAACTTGTGATATCTTATTTAATTATCATAACAATGCCATAAAGTCAGTATTGTCCCTGTTAGAACATATTCATCCCTCAAAATATGGAAGAAAGTACCCACAGGCAGTGTGTGCCACTCACAACATTCTTAGCTCGCTTTTGTTTTCCTGGCCCTCTGGAAAATATTAGAAGAATGTTTCATGATATCTCTGGGGAGAATCTTTGTAGAAAAAAAGACTGAACAAGTTAAATACCAAAGGTCATTCTGCCAAGGCACAAATCAGAGCCGTGCTCCCAAACCTACTCTTTTAACCTCTCTATCCCACTGCCTCTAAGAAGTTTCCCACCGGATTCTGGCTTAGTTGAGCCAAGATTGCACACACTACATTTAGCCCTATACAGATAAGACGAATTGGGAAAAGCATTGCTAAGATGATGGAAGGTATATATGCAAGTGTGTGTTTATATAATTTTACATTTCACTGATACCTTTACAGATTGTAAATCTAACCCTTTGAAACTTTGTTTTCACTGTAACCGAAAATCCTGTAGCAGATTGCCATGGCCTTTCACTGGTTATTTTGAGTGTCTGGTTATTTGCCAGCACTCATCATCTATTAAGTCTGACACAGAGGCCATATGCTATTTCTCCTGTCTGGTCCACAAATCAGGATGGCCTCCTAGAGCTGCAGTCCCCCATTTTCTCACTAGTGACTTCTGATTTTTCCATTCAGAATGAATTCTTTTCTTTCCAAGTTGGATTGCATTCATTTTGCACAGGCTCACATCTTGGGTCTCACTGTATCAAACTTCAGGGTCTAAATACCAGATTGCTCCAAAAGTGTTATTATTCAGCTCCTGCTGAACAAGGGCATATGCCATGTGCCCTTTCTCCCCAGAGACATCATGAAACATTCTTCTAATATTTTCCAGAAGGCCAGGAAAACAAAAGCAAGCTAAGAATGTTGTGAGTAGCACACATTGCCTATGGGTACTTTCTGCCATATTTTGAGGGATGAATATGTACTAACAGGGACAAGTATGTTTCCCCTCTTAATAATATGCTGTTACAGGCAGATTTTTCTGCAACAATGGACACAACAACAGGGTCGCACAGGTCTTCCCTTCTGTGGTCTTGTGCCAAGGTGTCTTTAGTAGTGCACTATGGCTAGGACCATTGAGATTTCTGCCTGTGCTCCAGAAGCAATTTTTCAAGTGGCCTCTGGGGCCCTGAGGACAGGCTAAGGGAAGTAAGTAGACTTCAGCTGAGAGAGACAGGCTCAATTATGAAACTATTTTGTGGAGCGTTATGAGTTTACAAAGGCAAATTCACGGAGCTGCAGTGCACTCATGAGAGCTCAGAACACCAGTGCAGGGTGTACTAGGAGGCACCCTTCATATGTGACTGTCTCAGCCCTATGTAGACTAATGACACATGTCAATGACACATGAGTGATGCAGCCATGAGCAGTGATGGTGTCCTAGGAAGCTCTCAGCTTTACTCCCACCTGCACTGTTTGCATTTTTAGTGATGAGGCACCAGAACTGCTTTAAAACCCTAAGTGTTCATTCTTCTCTTTTTCTCTGCTCCACCTACGAGCCTGAAGAATTGCTTACTATAATTTCTGGATTTAACAATGGGTGTATGCTCTATTCCATCAGAAATTTAAGATATTTAAATTTTTTACTAAAATAGGTTCATCCACCTAGAAAATCTATAGATTTCTCAAGAATCTCAAGAACCATCCACCTAAAGTTTGAAGGCAGCTCCTTGAGAACTGGGATTGAGAGGTGAAAAAGTTTATAGACATCTCTGGATTTGCTGATTGTTATTCTTTCCTGCCCAAGGACTGTAGCACCTGATAGTCAGCCCACTGTTGCTCATATTGGAAAGAAATTCCACCCTGGAGATGTTTGACAAGGTTCTCTGGAATGCCTTTATTCTTCACAGTTGGCAATTACCTCCTTCCACAGACAGAGATGGGGCTTTATGATGATTACTTGTTAAACAAAGAATGCTGTTTATTAACCCCTCTTTGTTAGAAGGTGATCTTCTAGTCATTCTATTAATTGCAACCACCCTCTGGAAGTTTCATAACTTAACCAACAAATGTGGAGCTCCTGAAGTCAGTCCACACTGAGTATTTGTGGGGCTACAGAGAAAGACAAAGCACAGATTCTGTACTTAAACCTTAGCCATACACAAGGAATTGCAGTGAAATTCAGTAAATGCTCTGGAAGAGGAGTGCTTGGAAAGCTGAATTTCATTACCATGCAATCTTTTTCAAAATATCAAAACAGAACCTACAAGGAAGAAAACCCATTGGTCTAGAGTACTGGAATCTTTTCTGGCCATTCTCCATTTGATGAACATTCTGCTCCACTTCCTGGGTAAAGCAGGAGTAGATGGAAGACTGGTCCAGGTTATGAATCATTAAGTTCAATAAGACAGTTTTTGCCAAATTGTTTTGAGTATACACACAAAGCTTAGAGTCAGTTCATGTTCATAAAATTTGGAAATTTCTCTCTTGTAGCTCAGGCTCCAACCTTGGATCATACTTAATGGAAAGATGACCTTACAATTTGATTTCCCCTAGATAAGGAGGAAGACAAGTTTTCTGTTGCTGCTGTCTTTGTTATGGTATAGAGGGGTCCCATGAAGGGTCAAGAATATAATTTCTGGCTGTGTGTGGTGGCACATGCCTGTAATCCCAGCACTCAGGAGGGTGAGGAAAGAGGATCACTGCAGGTTCAAGGCCAGCCTGAATTACATAGTGAGATCCTGTCTTAAAAAACCCCAAAAAGATAATAATAATAATATTATTATTATTATTATTATTATTTCAGGAATGAACAAACATATGTTCTGTGTTTTCACTCATAAGCCAGGTGTCTGGAATTCTGTTTCATCAACCAAACTGTAGACTCCTGAGGACAAGGAGTAGGCCTTGTTCATCTCTGAATCTACCAAAGATCCACACTTCTTTCTCTTTGCTGAATAATTACACAGACACAGCAATCCTCATAGTTCAGGGTACAGAGGGAAGCAAAGATATTCTATAAGACTTATTTCTGGCCAAGTGTTTTCAGTTAGAGCATGCACTTACATTTGTATTCTTATGGCTTACATTAAGTCCTGACACCTGTTTTCAGGCTCATTTCACAGCCTTGCTAATTTCCTATAAACATATACTGTACTTCTAGTAATTAAGGATTTTATTATATAACTTTATAGTTCTGCCCTCAAGGAATTAATTTTGGTGGTCCTCCATGAAGCTCATTGTCTGATATAAAATATGGATAAATTTAATAGAATGTTTAATTATATTGTGAAAAGCTTTAGGGAAGGAAACCACAAAATCTTAGTAAACCTGCAGTCTCACCCTGTGCAGGCTTGCTCTTGGGACAAAGCCTGCTAGCCTGGCCTCCTGGGAGCCAATCTGACTGCGGATTCTACTCCTTATCTGTCCAACTATGGAGGAAGATGTAGCCTTCCTGAATCCCACACCAGCCCTTGGCCTGGAGTGTTTTAACATTACAAGGGAAATAAGGATCAAATGGCAAACATGGGAATCACACAGCTAAGAAATCCCATTTTGTTACCAGCCCAGGCCATTCATGCATCCGTGTTGCAGAAGTGGTGCTGGGAAAAGCCAGCTTTGACTTTTGAGCTTTGCAAAGCACCTTCCTGCTTCTGGCCCTGCTTGAAATTGCTGGTGAGGTCAATGCTATCGGTCCAGGTCTAGATTCCCCTGCCAACAAATGAAACATTTTACATCAGAGAGAAAAGTGCTCATGGATTCTAGTCTCAAATTGCTTTCTTGTAATCTCTCAGTGATTCATGAAAAAGCAGAATCCAGAAATCCTTCAAATTTTTCTTTTTCTCTTAAGACTGTTCAAACTTTCAAAGGCTTCAGAAGCCCTTTAAGAAGAGGCCTCTGAAAGGAATCCTCTGTCTTATACAATCCAAGCCTTCTATAATGTACAGAGGTGCCAGGGAGAGTAGTTCTGTGAAACAAATATCATCAAACAAACCCAGTTCATTGTCTCACCAAGTCAAAAATCAAAATTGTGGGAAAAAAGGAGGTTAAAGGGGAAGTATCCTTTGGAAATATATGAAAGAAAAAAAACCCTCCTGGTGGGGGTCCAGCAGGGGTCTCAGAAAGTGGGGTTCTAGAGTCTTATATAGATACACAAAGAGTGGGATATAATTCGATATCATTATCCAGTGATCACCACTCACAAGTGGTTCTGTGGGTTTATAATAACCAATTGGGGTTTAGGCTTTGTAATGGAGAGTTTAAAAAAATTAAGTTACTCAGCCGGCTGAGTTCAAAAGAAACCACTTACTCTGCATTTTTAAATTTCTCCAAGTCCAGCCCAGAGATAAGGAGGAGCCATGAACTAACTTACCATACTCTCCCTGAGGTCTTTTCCTGGAAGGAAGTGTTCTTATGTGCCCATTCTTTTTTTTTTGTTTTACATTTATTAATTTTTATTTATTCTTCATTATTAATGAAGTTTAATATAACTTACTGTGTGTATTTTTGGTTTTTTATTTTATTAGTACATTTTCGATATACATAATGGTCACATTGATCATAGGGAATTTGTACCTGTACATGATATATCTTGCTTCTTTTTTCTCCCATCTCCTCCCCTCCAACCTCTCTTCCCCTCCTTATTTACAAAAGCTTTGTTTCTACTTTTTTCCTTCTATTCTTTTTTTCCCTTGTCCCTTCCTTTCTTCCTCCTCTCTCCTCCCTTGTTCCCCTTCCCATTTGAACATTTTCTTCCTATTCCCCAATATCTGTTATACCTGTTGGTCCTTATTTCCACTTTCAGTTTCTCACACCAGAGAAACAATGCACTATTTAAACATGTGTGTCTGATTTATTTCAGTTAAGAGTATCCGCCCATTCTTATCATAACTTTTTATTTTTTCCTGTGTTTGCTATTACATTTCTAAGCTTCACTAGCTGCATGGCTTGAATTAGCTCTTAACTCAGTGTATGTGCTATTTTCTTTGTATCTGTGTTAGGCTTTGTCCCTTGTATAGTTTTATTCTAATTTTTGTTTGATGGCACATTTTAAAAAAAATTTTATTTTATTGGTACATTTTAGGTGTACAATATAATGACATTCATCACGGGAAATTTGCACCTTTACATAATCTCTCTTGGTTCTTATTTTCCCCACTTCCCCTGCCCTCCCTTCAACCCCTCCATCTCTCCCTATTTACAAAGACTTTGTTTCCATTTTTTCATTTTCTCATATTAATTCCATTCCCTTCTTTCCTCTCCCCTACCCCTCCAACTTCCCCTTCCCCTCTGCACCTTTTCTTCCTATTTCACATTACCTATTATACCTTTTAGTCCTTATTTACACTTTCAGTTTCTCACACTAGAGAAACTTCGGTATTTGTACATGTGTGTTCTATTTATTTCACTTAAGAGTATTGCCTCAATGTGCATACATTTCACTATAAATGTCTCTAATTTCTCATTTTTTATGGCTGAGTAGTACTCCATTTTATTTTTTTAAAACCCACATTTTCTTGATCCAGTCTCCAGTTGAAGAGCAATTGGGCTGCTGCTTCCAACTTTTAGCTATTACAAATTGTCCTGCTATGTGAACATGGATACACATATATCACTGTGGTATGATTCTTTTAATTCTTTGGGTAAGATACCCAGCAGGGGAAATAGCGGGGTCAAATGGGACTTCCAGTCCTAGTTCTTTGAGGTATCTCCATACTGATTTCCACAGTGGTTGCACCAGTCTACACTCCCACCAGCAGCAGAGCAGGGTTCCTCTTTCCCCACAGCCCCATGCTGGCACATTTTTAATTTCCAAGGATAACTATTTTCTTTTACTTCTTACTGAAACAATCCCCCCCACCTCCACCCCACTGTCTTCCTGATGGCCTGAGGTTCAAATGGGAAGGAACATCTAGCACCCCAGACCCTGAACTCAGCTGAGGGTTGGTTCACATCTTCCTCTAGCTTCTTCCATCCAATCCACCTTTGCCAGATTCTTTACTGAAGAACCAACAAGCCAGTGTGGGGGTGCATACCTGGGCTTCTGAGTCCACATCCTTACTGTGTTAGGGCTATGTGGATTCCCCTGAACACCCACATCTCTGTAGGAGGGCCACCCTGAAGCAAAAGATTTTACCTCCTTCCATCCTAACCCTAAAGGCCTCTAGTACAGAAAATAGGCTTCGATATAATTATCAAATTCTGGTTTTACTCATCAAATTTAATCATGACATTGTAAAGTTTATTGGGTACTTTCTGCCAGCCAGTACCACGCAGGGGCCTGCAGGTGTAGTGGGAGAATCATTTTTAAAATAATAGATATGAATAATCTCTGAAATGCCCTTGAAACACATTTTTAATACCTGACCTCTTAATCTATCTAAAATCAAATCACTTTATTGCTGTAACCATGTAACTGGGAAATTCCATTTAATTCACCGTCTTAAAGATTTTAAAACTCTTTTTTTTATAATTTTGTTCTTAACCTCATTCCCATTGCATCCATTTGGATCCATATCATTGGCTTCTATCTATAAAAAAAGATAAGGAAAAAGCTAGATTCTTGTGGCTTAACAGCAGAAATGAAAAGTCCAGTGCATGTGACATAATAGTTTTTTATGATGACTGAATATACATCATGTCCTTTGACAATAGCCATTTCCCTAAGTCTGGCACTACTATATCTTAAAAATGTCAGCACGCTTTGGAAAGGTGCTTAACGATAGCAATATGACTAAACCCTCCCTCCCACACCCATCTCAAAGGAGGGGGACTGTGGGTTGGCTGAGGGAAGGATGGACCCCAGCAACTGAGAACCCTGATTTTAACACTGCAATGTGATTTTGGGAAAATGAGTTGATTTTAATTGTGCCTTCCATTTTTTCCTATAAAATGAGACAACTATAAAAGACTCAAAGGGTCCAGGAAGCTCCTGAAATAGTTGTATTCTTTCCTATACACCTTGAAAATACCGTGTCATATCAGTTCTCCAAGAACTCACAGACAGGCTCTTTCACTGTTTCACTGAACAGAAATCTAGAGAATGTGTCTGCTTCTTGGAAGTCTTCATCATGATCCCAAGAACCTTTTAGAAAATGTTCACTGCTACCCTCACGGATAGAGACCCTCAAGAAAGGCTGTGGCAGGAAGGAGGGCAGAAACTCACATCTGCTGTATATCCCTGCTGTGTCACTTCCAAGAAGAGAGGAGCAAATTCGCAGGCAGAGTTAAGCATGGCAGTAGCAATGGCAGTTTTTAGTGCAAGTACAGCAATCTAGGCAGCTCAAGATTTGTCTGTGCTAGCGTGTTTGTTGTCCTTGCACTTGGTCAACATAAACAATTACATATTTCTTTGTTTTAAAAACTGAAAAGAGGGGCCGGGGATTTAGCTCAGTGGTTTCGCAAAGCTTAAAGACCCGAGTTCAATCCCTGGTACCAGAAAAACAAAACAAAACCTGAAAAGAGTAGAAAAGAGTACTTCACAAAATATTCATGCCATTAGGCAAGATCTGGGGGTAAGAAATTAATCTCTAACAAAATGATTCAATTCATCTGAAATTAAATTTTATTTTAAAAAATACTTTCTCTTTGCAGGTCGACTGCAAGGGAGTATGCTCTGAAAATTATCAAGAAAAGCAAATGTCGAGGCAAGGTATGTATAATGTTTATTCTTATGAAAAAATGGGTTCTGAAGGTAGAAACAAGAATAAACATAAGCTCATCCTCAGAGTTACATTTTGGTAGAATAGAATGTTATATACTGGTTAGAATATAACTTTATAAATACTTTTAGAAGAAGTTAGCTGGAATGATTTCTTATCTTGGTTTTACTTTCTTTCTTTATGTTTGTGATCATCTGAATTTAATCATCTAAGGACCTTCAATATCCTTTAACAATTCTAGACTATGAGAATGTCATTATTTATCAAAACACATCTCCCTTGATCCTCGGACAGTATAGTTATATTATTTTGAGTTAGCTCCTTGTGTTTTGTATATATTGATTAAGTTAGCATTTCCTTTGGACAGGAACACATGATCCAGAATGAAGTATCTATTTTAAGAAGAGTGAAGCACCCCAATATTGTTCTTCTGATTGAGGAGATGGATGTGCCAACTGAACTGTATCTTGTCATGGAATTAGTAAAGGTGTGTATTTTGGAAAAGAGACGAATTTCCATATAACACATCATATTTTCCTAGGTTATATCACTGTTTTCTTTATTTCTTCTCACCAGTATCCAGTCTGTCATTTCTGTGTATTGGCACAGTGATTAAGAATGTTTAATAAAAGCCTTGGGATGCTCCTCAGTGGTACACCACTTGCCTAGCATGCACCAGGCCCTGGGTTCAATCCCCAGCCCTGAAAAAAAAATTTGTTATGATGGAACTGAACTAGAAGGGCATAAGACTTGGCCTTGGCCCATGTAGCTCCTCAACCTTGGGTATTTTCCCCTGTGCCTCATTTCCATCCCTCTGTGTAATACAGAAAGTATTAAATACCAATACAATTTTTGTCATTGTTATAGTAGAATATTATTCATTTTTCTATGATACCCAAAGGTATCAACAACTTTGTGAAAAACAGGCTTTAAGCTTTTAGTCGCCAACATAATAAAATAATAACAGCTATAATGATTATATAGACTACATCCTTTAAGTGAATATTGTAATCTCATAATGTTACATAAAATTACCTTTTTACTCTATGAAAACAGAATATCAGATCAGCCAGGTAATGGTAGAATGTTCTTATTACTTTCATATATTTGAAATTATCAGTAATTAGAAATTTTAAAAACTGGAATGTTTCATTTTTATGAAGTTATTTTTTCTCAAAGCTTTTCTTGTATGCTAAATAACCCACTGGAAGCTTAGGTAATTTCTGATTTGGTTGTAAAGTGTAAATTACTTCCACTCCCTTCTGGATTAACTCTGTGCACCAGCAGCCAGAGTCCAGGCTTGAGGAGGCACTTTTGAATCTTACAGCTCATTCTTTTCAAGAGTCCTACACTCTAAATAATTAGATGTGAGATATCCCAGGAGGATGTGTATAAGAACTGCTTTAGAGACAGGACTGGTAAGATTTGACTGTTTTGTGAAGGATGAAGAAGAGATGACAGCATGCCTGACTTCGATGAGCAGGACAATTCCAGGGTCCTTGCAGGGGCCCACATGCAGCCTCCCACATCCACTGTGCCACCCCAAAGGCCCTGTTCAGTATCAAGGTGAACATCCAGCCTCCTCCAGTGATAGGAGATGATGGGCAAACCTGCCTGGCCTTTGAGAGAAACAGAAAGTTGAGAGATAAAGAATTTGTTTGCAAACAAAACAAAACTATGAGCTTAGTCTGAGAATTGTTACTGCTTAAAGCACAGTGAAAGAAGTTTCCAGAATAGAGATTATAGAGGGGAACAGAAGATCCAGTCCAGATAGTGAGATCTAAACATCATTAGCCTCCCAGGGCTGTATTTTGTTTTTGCTGTTTAAAGACAGAAAATTAAGTCCCACATTAAGTAACAGATGAATATATTTGGGAGCACTGTCTGGTGCATAGTATACAAGAGAGGGGAACATTGTTGGTATATTATACCCAAATTCCCTAAAAGGGCTTCAAATAAACATAACCTGAACTGGAAGCCAAACTCTGTATCACCGAGTAGCAATAATTAACAAGGAGCAAGGGAGGCAAAACTTCAAATAAATAATAGTCCTAAAAATCTTTCTCTGAAATTTCTCTACCTTTCCTTCCTCTCTTTCTCTCTTGTCTTTGGTGTGATGGCTTCCGATACTTTTTTTCCATTCCTTACAAAGAAGCATATTACTGAAAAAGAAAACAGTACACTCACTCCGAGAGAGCTAATCTAGAGAAGCAGAGAGAGAGAGAGAGAGAGAGAGAGAGAGAGAGAGAGAGAGAGTCTGTGAATAATTTCACAAGGCAGCAGAAGCTTAAGTGAGCACTTCACAGCATTACCTGCTTGTCGTTGGGAGAGGTTGAGGATTATGAATCTGCATTTCACCTGGCAGCTGTGTGAGCCAGGCTGCACCTGCCAGAAGGCAACCCACGCTTCATGAGGCTTCTGCCCTGGGGACCCAGCTCCATTGCTTCTTCCCAGGTGGGGGCTATGGAGGTGGCCACATGTCTGCAGTCAGAGAGTCCTCATCCCATTTCTTTCTTGACCTCTGGAGGAAATGCCATTCTTTCATAGTAAGAAGAGAAATCACCATAAAGTCTTTGGTCCTTTGAGAGGCAAGTGGCAGGGAAGAGCCTGCATCCATTCTTCATTTTCTCTGTGGTTTGTCAGTCCTCTCTGCAGGCAGCATAATCACTGTCTGTTAATGTGCTGCTCTGCCTGCTGTTCTCTTCTCAGGGCGGAGACCTCTTTGATGCCATTACTTCCACTAACAAATACACCGAGCGTGACGCCAGTGGGATGCTGTATAACCTGGCCAGTGCCATCAAATACCTGCATAGCCTGAACATCGTCCACCGTGACATCAAGCCAGAGAACCTGCTGGTAAGAGGAATGCCAGCTTCTGGGCATCCTGAGTTCCAAACCCTTATGACTGAATATAAATCCCCCCTTTTTCTTTTCTTTCTCTTCTTTTAAAACTTTTTATTTTAAAAGCTCATTTCTGGCTCAGTACTGCCTGGAAAACTAATCTTTTAAGTTGATCTATCAGTGTTTATGTGCCATTAAAAGCACCTGACTTACTAGTAAATAAATACCAGGAACAAGAGTGGAAATAGAGCTTAGATATGTTGACATCCTAGGTTAGTTCAAGATAGTGACCAGGAGCATTTACATGTACACTATTTATCTACAGTACTTTTAGGTTATAAAGTTTTTCCTGGAGGAAAAAAGGAAGCCCATTTATACTTTCTTTTATATACTAGCTTTACATCTTAATGATATACCCTGAAACCTAACAGAAATAACTCACAAGGGGCTTTAAAGACACCAGCTCCTCAGGATAAAAATAATCATAAAAAGATGGATTCTTAAAAAGCCTTCCCTTACTTTAAAACTATCTAGTTTGCTTTGAATTCCATATCGATAAGGAAACATTGAGATTTCTCCACATTATCAAATGAGGGTCCCTTCATAGCCCAGTTACTAAGGAGACAGATGAGAAAGAAGAAAAGAGGTAAGACTGGTTAGGGGGAGTGGTCTCTCAGAAATATGGGAGTAGCAGGAATTTGACCAGTTGCTCAAGCTAGAACTTTAATTTTACATAAATATGTAAAATGTATAATATTCATAGTATGTACATACTATATACATGTAAATGTAATGTAGCTATTTTTTTCTTTCATTATCTATCCCTGGGCATCATGTGTAATATGAGATATTGTTAGTTTACTCATCTGTTCAGTAACCTGAGAATTGAGGGCTCTCTGATGCAGTATTTCTCCAAGGGTGGTCCAAAGACTCCCTCCATCAGAATTACTCCCAGATGCCCATTACAAATGCAAATTTCTGGCTGGATGTGATGGATTACATGCCTGTAATCCCAGCAGGCTAAGGCAGGAGGATTGCCATGAATTCGAGGCCAGTCTGGGCTATATAGTGAGTTCAAAGCCAACCTGAATTGCACAGTGAGACCCTGTCTCAAAAAACAAATTTCTAGACTTCCGTGTACCTCTACCAAATCAGAAATTGGTGTCTGGTGACACGGTGCAGAAATCCACATTGTGAACACCTCCCACAGGTGATCTGAATATATGTTTAAGTTTAAAGAGGATGAGCAACTTAACTTCCACTGCATGAATCAAAACTAATAAGATCTGCTGCAATCGAGAATCACCTACGGGCTCACCTACGGGCTCACCTGCGTCCTTAGTGCTTCACAGTCATTATCTTGTTTAATTCTTACAACCACAATTTGAGGGTAAAAATTCTTTGGATGTCCCATTTCACAGGTAAGGAAACTGGGTGACTAGAAGGTAGATATCCTACCCGAGGTTGTAACAGCTTGTAAGTAGAAAAGCCAAGATCTCAACCTGGTTCTGATGTATTCCAAAGCCACCAAACTACATTTATGGGAGGGTTAACTGAATGCTTGCTATGTCAAGTCCAGTGCCAGGAAACAAGAGAGACGCATTCCTTTGTGGACCTGACATGTAGGAGGAAAGGATAGGCATTCAAGCAATTAGTTCTTTGCAATTATGTTGGTAAACTTGTAGCTACTGGCTATAACTAATGAAGGAAGCTGAGGTCAAATGACGGAGTTCTGACTTAATTGCACCTCAAATTCCACATTTCTGTAGTAGCCTAAACATTCTCTTCTGCATAGTTGCCTCCTTGAACTGCAGCAATTTTCTGTCAACTGCATTCATTATTCCTATGTCCTGAATTATGTAGGATTGTCCCTTGAGAACAGGCTTACAAGTGGGCCTTTGTTTAATAACTTCTCTAAGCTCCAAAACATAAGTGATTGAAAATTAAAGTTCACTTCCCTTCCCTTTTTTAATTTTCAGTTCAATTTTGGGCACCCATTGTTTATTTGCTCCACACCATAGCATTATCTATTTCTGTAAATACCTTCAATGATTACACAGCAGTGTACTTTTACTAAAATTGCAATTTGCAGGATCCTTTTAAATTCTGTGCACATTGGAACATATCTTACTTTAAATTATCCAAAAAGTAAAAGATGTTCTCTCTTCCTTTTTTTCTATCTTTTCTAATTTAAGAATCTGAAACATATACAAAAACATTTGCAGTCATTCATAATGTAAGTTTAAAATATCACATGAAATCTACCAATTCTATTCTCCATTATAGTGATTTTTTCACTATGGGGGCAAATGTTGGCCAATTTTTCAGGAATAACTCTATTACCGAATAAAAAATTTTAAATACATGTAACAAAATCAGAACAGCATCATTAATTGCACATTAAGTCTCTGTTACTTTGTAATTCTGTAATTTCCTTGGAAATACAAGGGTACAATCATAGGAGGTTCACCTTCACATACTGAAGATTTAAAGTCAGATAGACAAAGTTCAAAGCCAAGTGCTTCATTCTTCCATTGGCTGGTCTCATGACTTTGAAGAAGTTACCGAACTCCTTTAAGGCTCCTGTAAGGGCATTTTATGAAGACAAAGAGATACATGGCTATTAGTTTCTTTTCTTTTTTGCCCCTCTTTTCTTGTAAGAAAAATTATATTATCCCTAAAAATAAAACTGCTTCACAATAACATTATATATAATAAAAATTTTTATTCCTTTTTTGACATTGCTTTCACTCATCCATTTACTGTTGTGTAACAAAATGTGAAGCTATGGACTAGTTTTGAAAAGTGCTGTAGTAAAGTTAATACAAATACAATATTTTGAATTCATTTGCTTACTTCATAAATAAAAAGGCCTCATTTCACGTTTTGCTTTACTGTTTCATTCACAGATCTGACAAGTTCTTCTAAATTGTTAGATTTCTAATAAGCTTTTTTGCTAGTTACATGTTTATTACTTGTTTTCGTTTGTTTGTTTGTTTTGTTTTTGTTTGTTTTGGTACCGGGGATTGAACTCGAGTCCTTGAGCTTGTGCAGCAGGCAGTGAAACCACTGGACTAAATCCCCGGCCCTCATGTTTAGTACTTGTGAACACATATTTTTTTATATATGTCTAATTCAGCTGTAGGTTTCTGTAAGTAGATATATAGAACTTTTAGAATTTTTATTTTAATGCTTATAGCATACTATAAAAATGTAGCTTAGCTTTAAAGATCTATACTGATCATATGAATGTTTTATTTAAGTTTTTGGTCAGAGTATTTTAATAAGAAAATATGATCTGACTTACAATGATGTTTCAACCCCATTTTAGGTTAAAAACTGGGAATTGACCCAGTAAAAGCACCCCTTATAAATTTATTATTGTGTCATTACTGAAGCTTTTCCTCCAAGTTAATCATACCAATGACTTTATGTGGTTGCTTTTGCTTTACTTGTTATTGACCCTGGTGCAGAATAATCATAGGGATAATTGGAAGGTGAACGACAGAACGGATGAGATGTGCACACCAGTGAAGGAGTGCTATGTCCTCACAGTATAGAGGGCAGAGCTGATGGGACAAGCCTGAGCCATTTCCCAACTCATCTGTTACATGGAAGGATCACGCTGCCCTCGGTACAAACCTTGCTGAGTGTGGAGACATGGTTTGGCAGCAGCGCTTTTGCACGGAGAGAGGGAGAGGTAGAGGGAGGAGAGCGAGAGGAAGAGGGAAAGAGACTACGGTAATTTTGTTTTATGAAGTTTTAACGCCGTCAGTGTACAGGAGTTACCACTAGATGGCAAGCTTGTGTCCTTGACTGCAAAAATCAGCAGTACCTTATTCTAGAGAACTGGCTGCATGGCTCTTTAAAATATATATACCCAGAAGTCACCTCCTTGTGAAATTTAATCTTTACTGGCAAAAATATAACCTACATCACTATTTTTATTAGATTACAGGAGTAAACATTGTTATTGTCTTCCAGTATAAAAATGTATGTTTAAAACTTTTTTCCTCCCAACCCCCCCAGCAGGAGAAAGTAGTTTCCTGGAGAATTTGTCCCTTTTGTTCAGAAACTTTCTTCTAGAAAAGTTTAGAAAATTCTTCCTGAGTGTTTGTGCTTGCTCCAGGCTGCCCACAAAGTGACACATGTAGCTTATGATCTTCAAGTCCTGCCATGGGTGTATGCCTAGCAATGTTTTTCTGTTCACCCAAGGAACAGTCACAGTTTGTGTTCTAACTTTCCTTAATTTCCATTCAAGGCAACACCAAGCTCACAAGATAGTGGATTTCCTTCTGCCTTAAACTCAAGACTGTTAATCCCCAGATAAATCCATTATATGGTAGCATAGCTAACAGTGGTAGACAATGAGTACTGGAGTAGAGTTCATGCCCAAAAACACACCTGGTCAATTTGCAGTCAGTCACCTGTAGAGACCACCCTCCAGATCCATAGGGGATTGGCTTCAGGACTCCCTGTGGTGACTCAAACCCATGGTGCTCAAGTCCCTTATATAAAATGACCCAGAATTTGCATAGAACCTGTGTACATCCTTTCATATACTTTAAATCATTTCTTGATGATTTTTAATAATATAATGTAAATATTATACAAATGGCTTTTGCACTGTATTTTAAAGGAAAAGTTGCAAGAAAAAAGCCTGTACATATTCAATACCAAAACAATTTTTTCTTAAATATTTCCAATATTTTCTTAAATATTTTCAGTATTTCCTCCAAATACAAAAGGGCAACTGTACTACGAACTTGAGCCACCAGAGTGTGCTGATTGATGGACTGGGGAGTGCCCACAGGAAAAGAGTCAATGATCCTCCATGAGTCTATCAGTAGCCCTCCCTCCCTAACTGTCATTGCCTGTGACTTGGATGAAAATGTATTACATCAAATGACAGAATTATCTTTGGCTCCACAATCAGTAATGTGAAATTTAACAAGACATAAATATAAATCCCTATGGACTAAGTGGTTTTGGAATAGTTGATTTATTGATGATTG